GCTGCCTGCATGGTGCTTGGGGCCCCGGGTCGACCGGCAGTCCTTTTTCCGCGCCGCGGCCCGTTGGTTCTCGCACCCGTGAGTGATCGATCCCCTCTGTTTCGTCCCGACCCGTCCGGCCCGCTTCCCACCTTTTTTTCTTTCGTTTTGGTGGGTTTTGTTTTTGCTTCTTTTTTTAATTTTTTATTCTTAGGTTAATCCCCATACATTACATCATTAGTTTTAGATGAAGTGTTCCATGATTCATTGTTTGTGCACAACACCCACTGCTCCATGCAGAATGGGCCCTCCTCAATACCCACCACCAGGCTAACCCATCCTCCCACCCCCCTCCCCTCTAGAACCCTCAGTTTGTTGTTCAGAGTCCATCGTCTCTCATGGTTCGTCCGCCCCTCCGATTTCCCCCGCTTCATTCGTCCCCTCCCGCTACCTTCTTCTATTTTTTTTCTCTTCTTCACAGAGATTGCGTTATTTGTTTCAGAGGTACAGATCTGAGATTCAACAGTCTTGCACAATTCACAGCGCTTGCCAGGGCACCTACCCTCCCCAGTGTCTATCACCCAGTCACCCCACCCCCCACTCCAGCAACCCTCAGTTGGTTTCCTACGATTGATTAAGAATTCCTCCTATCCGTGAGATCATAGGATACAGGTCTCTCTGTTGGTCGCTTTGTTTTTGTTTTTTAGATTTTACTGGACAGAGACACAGCGAGAGAGGGAACGCAAGCAGAGGGAGTGGGAGAGGGAGAAGCGGGCTTCCCGCCGAGCAGGGAGCCCGATGCGGGGCTCGATTATCGGGACCCTGGCACCCTGGCACCCTGGCACCCTGGGATCATGACCTGAGCCGAAGGCAGACGCTTAATGACTGAGCCACCCAGTCGCCCCCCACTTTCCACCTTGACCGTGCCTAGTCGTCCACCCGTCTAGTCCTCTTGGCCGCGCCTGGTCTTGCCCTCGAATGTGTTCGTCTGGAGCACAGAGCTAGATCCAGAGAATGAGAGAATGAGATCGATGGACCCACGGACGGAAATCAAGTTTCTCTTTCCCTGAAATGACCTAGGACACTCCTCTTCTAGTCAGCTCCCATCCTGCTCCCCCACCCCCAACAACCTCTCATCGGACCTTCCCCTTTTGCCACCAGAAAGCTTTTCCACTCCTCCGCCTGGCCTGCGTTTGCTTGGCGTCTCTGCCAGACCCAGGCGGTGGTGGCCGACCGCAGACTCTCTTGCCCTCAAGAAATGATTCCCGCTCTCATGTGGGTGATCTTTTATCTCCACAGAGGTGATTAGTTTGGGGAACAAATAAAAGCACTCAGAATAAAAACCATGCCCAGTATCATGCACGCCCTCCTCCCCCTCCCCCCCTCCCCCTCCCCCTCCCCCCTCCCCCTTCCCCTTCCCCCCCTCCCCCCTTCCCCTCCCCCCTTGGCCCCCTTCCCCCTTCCCCCTTCCCCCTTCCCCTCCCCCCTTCCCCCTTCCCCTCCTCCCTTCCCCTCCTCCCTTCCCCTCCCCCCTTCCCCTCCTCCCTTCCCCTCCCCCCTTCCCCTCCTCCCTTCCCCTCCCCCCTTGGCCCCCTTCCCCTCCCCCTTCCCCCTTCTCCCTTCCCCTCCCCCCTTGGCCCCCTTCCCCTCCCCCTTCCCCCTTCCCCCTTCCCCCTTCCCCCTTCCCCCTTCTCCCTTCCCCTCCCCCCTTGGCCCCCTTCCCCTCCTCCCTTCCCCTCCTCCCTTCCCCTCCCCTCGTGGCCCCCTTCCCCTCCCCCCCCTTTGATGTCTACATGAACCGACAGACTGCATGCATGGCATGTATAGATGGATGGATGGATCGATGGATCGATGGATCGATGGATCGATCGATCCATGGATCGAACGGTGAAGAGAGCCAGGGTGAGGGTGAGGGTGAGGGTGAGGGTGAGGGTGAGGGTGAGGGTGAGGGTCCCGTCCGTCCCTCCCTCCTTCCCTATGTCCATCACATTGTTTCGTCACAGATTTTCGAAGTGGAGATACAATTCGCATGCCATATTTCGCATACTCTTAAAAGTGGGCCATTGGGTGGCCTTTTTTTCTTTTTTTTTAAGGTGGCTCACAAAGCTGCACAACCTTCACTGCAATTTCCAGAACATTTCCATCACCGCCAAAAGAAATAAACACCTCTACTACCCCTCCCCCCTTCCTGTCCGCGCCTCGCCCCCACCCGCCGTCACCGTCGCCCTCGCCGTCACCGTCGCCCTCGCCCTCACCCGGGCTCTCTTCACTGTTCTCCCCCAACAGGGAGTAGAAAGGGAAGTTAGAGGGAACATTCTTCCTCCCCTACACCTGCTGAACGCACATGGACACACACCGCAACCCTCCCCGCCAGGCGCGCGCACCCACCCACCCCCGCCCCGCCAAGCCCCGCCCCGCCACGCCACGCCACGCCACGCCCCCCATCCCGGCCTTACGTGTACCTTACGTACCTCTGCACGGACTCGAGATTTGGCAATAGCCTTGATTGCCCTGCAATGTTTCCAAACCTCGGCGCTCCCCAACCTTCCCCACCCCGACCCCCGCCCCTTCGAAGAAGAACTAACCTAATTCGGGGAGCTTCCAGGTTGCTTGAACGCCTGAAATGGTGGGGACAGAGGCGTTCCTGGAGAGGGGTCACGGAACACGGAAGCTCTGCCCCCCTTCCCTTTGCCTCTGTTCCATCTGGAGTTTCCTCAGTTGTATCCTTTTAGGACACAGCGGTCATGTAAGAAATGAGAAAAAAAAGGACTGAAGGACTGAACCGGGCTAGACTGGTTTAAAATTCTTCACTAGCGTCCATGCCGAATACATTTCGACGACAGGGGCCTTCGCACGGCTTTTGGTGCACAGAAGACCGATGCACCGAAGCCTGCCGATCTCGGGACGTGTCCACGAGGGGAAAGAGTGTCAGCCTATCGGAAAAGAGAGTCGGTTAACGTAGATTGCAAAGGCATTCGTTCATCCCGAGAGACTTCCTCTCCATGATGGCGGGTGGCGCGAGATGGAAGAGTTGGCTTCCATGAAAAAGGGGCCCTTTCTTGAAGACCCTGCCCAGCTATCGGGGTTTTGTTGGTTTGTGTTTTGTCATCTGTGATAGGAAGGCATCTTCTTAGCCATCGGGAGGGAAACCTCAACAAATTCAGCCATTCAGATCACAAGGGATTTCTTGGGTTTGGTGGATCTGAGATCTGGTCTGCCTCCGACTGCTCCCCGAGATTGCCTTTATGCCGAGAATGGGATTCCTCATCAGACACACAGAAGTCCGGCTCCTTGCCACGGAGCTGGCTGCTCTATGGATGCCTTTAAAAAGGAAGCCTGCCTTTAATTCGGACGTCGGAACGTGATCGGTCGCTTTTTCATGGGGGGTTGGCCAATTAAATTTCCCCCGCCTTGGGCGCCTGGGTGGCTCAGTTGGTTAAGCGGCTGCCTTCGGCTCCGGTCATGATCCTGGAGTCCCTGGATCGAGTCCCGCATCGGGCTCCCTGCTCAGCAGGGAGTCTGCTTCTCCCTCTGACCCTCCCCCCTCTCATGTGCTCTCTCTCATTCATTCTCTCTCTCTCTCTCTCTCTCTCTCTCTCTGTCTCAAATAAATAAACAAACAAACAAACAAACAAATAAATAAATAAATAAAATCTTAAAAAAAAAAAATTCCCCCCGCCTTACAAAGCAGAGACTGGTGAAGGGTCCTCCAAGTGCCCTCTGGAAATCAAGAGCTTCTGTATCAAGAGGCTGGAAAACGCATCTTCCCCTTCTTCCTGGTGAATCCAATTCTAGGGGTTGATTCAAAGGAAATCATGTTTTAGATGCTAAAACGTAAAGCTTACTTTTGCAAAAATGTGCATCGCGGCATAGGGTTTAGGAATCCCTTGTGGCAGACCGACAACCGTGTGTCCCTCACGTCCCGGCACGTGTGCACCCTCACGTCCTATGACTTCGATGCTCCTGCTATCCAGAGGTAGGCTTGATTGCTCTGTCCCTTGATTTTGGACCGGGTCTTGGGACTTGTCTTGACCCAAAGAATAGAGCAGAAGTGACACTTGGCTGGTTTCACAGCCTACACCTGAAGAGGTGGTCTGCCGGCGTTCTCGACCTTCTTGGCATGCCGTCCTGAGACCTCCACGTAAGAAAGCCAGTCTAGCTGACTGGAGCATGAGAGGCATTGACAACAGAGGCAGCCCGGTGCTCGGCGGCACCGACTGCCAGACGTGTGAAAGTTGACCCTCTGGCCGAAAGCCACTGCTTGAGTGAGCCCGGCGTAAACCCGCAGAACCCAAGGGGCCACCCAGGGCAAGCACCAGGAAGTTATCGATAAAGAAATGCTGTTTCGAGCCATTGCGGTGTTAGGATGATGCACCCTGAGGATCAGCTAGCTGCGCAGCAGCGATAGATACCGTGCACACAGATACACACCACACAACACACCACACCACACCCCCCCCCCACACACACGTGTGCAGAAAACCAAACCAACGAAACAAACCAAAACTCTGTAGAACCCTGCACCAAATGTTGAGGAAACAACGGCCCACCCTCACAAGAAACACCTGCACGCTACATGTACAATGCATAGGGAGCCTATACTTGCAAGTGCTTACTTGCATGGGAAACATTTCACGATAACATGAGTCTCAGATGGCCCAAGCGGGGTTCTTTTGACATGTCTGAATTGTGTACACAATTAGAGAAAGCCTGCTAGGAGACTGGGTGATCAGAAACTAGGAAGCTCTTTGGTTCCCTCAGTGAAGCCCCGACTTTTGGGGAGGAACCAACACTCAGGGAGATGCTCTGGTCTTCATTTGGTTGGTTGGTTGGTTGGTTGGTTGGTTGGTTGGTTGCTGCAGCTTTTGCTATCTTTGCATAAAACCGACCCTGTTTCCATTGGGAATGGAAAACAACTGACGGGTGGGATCTGTACACGGTAATGCTGCTTCGCAGTTGCATTTGTTTTACTAAAAGAGGGAGATTTGAACATTGGGTCTTTCGTGTCCTCTCCATTCATGTCCTCTCCACAAATAAGACTGAAACAAAGGCTAAAATTTGTTTGCATCTTGTTTGTGTCTATGTGTCCGTATGTGTTATACATGTGAGGTATTTCCTCCACCTCCGGGTGCTATTGCTAACATCCATTTGTAAAGGAGCTCTATTTAATGAGTTCTATTTTTATTTTATTTTATTTTATTTTATTTATTTTATTCTTTAAAGATTTTATTTATTTATTTGACAGAGAGAGACACAGCGAGAGAGGGAACACAAGCAGGCGGAGTGGGAGAGGGAGAAGCAGGCTTCCCGCCGAGCAGGGAGCCCGATGCAGGGGCTTGATCCCAGGACCCTCGGATCATGACCTGAGCTAAAGGCAGACGCTTAACCACTGAGCCATCCAGGTGCCCCGAGTTTTATTTTTATTAAAGATTCTATTTATGTCTTTGAAAGAAAGCGAGTGAGAGAGCACACGAGCTGGGGGTGGGGGGGCATTGGGAGAGGGAGAAGCAGACTCCCCGCGGAGCAGGGAGCCGGATGTGGGGCTCCATCCCAGGACCCCAGGATCATGATGTGAACGCAAGGCAGACACTTAACTGCCTGAGCCACACAGGTGCCCCTACTTAAAGAGTTTAGAGGCAGGTGCTCGTAAAAATCGGGCATGGTAAAACTCAGATAAGAATAAACCCAGTTTTTCAAGCTCACATGATCTGGGATGAAATTCCCTACATTCAGACTCTTATGTCACTCCACAATAAAGATGCCTCAAGGTAAGGGACCCAAGGGACGGCCCAGAGATAGACAAAAATTTAACACACCTGACCTTACCCCCACTTCCCAACAGTCAAAATAATGAAGAAGAGGAGGAAGACAGGCCGATGCTAGAAATCTGAAATCCACTCCTCCTCCTCCCCAAGTACAGGCACCAGAACCGATGCCCAACCCACTGGCTTCCGGAGGGCTGAAAAGCCACCACAGACAAAGCCTATTAAGCAGAAGGAGATGAAGAAAGGGGCGGAGGCGGAGGCGGAGGCGGAGGCGGAGGCGGAGGCGGAGGCGGAGGCGGAGGCGGAGGCGGAGGCGGAGGCGGAGGCGGAGGCGGAGGCGGAGGCGGAGGCGGAGGCGGAGAAGAAAAAAAAGAAAAGGTTCGTCCAAAACTGTAAATGTATATGTGCCCTGGGCCTTACCAATGGCTCCCTTGCCGCCTCCCCTGCCCCGTTTCTGCACCACTGGTGTGTGTGCCTGGAGTGCTCTACTCCCCTGCCGCCGTCTCAGCCGCCCTTCCCTACCCCCGCCCCCCCGCCCCCCCCCCCCCGGGTGCCATGGGCTCCCCTTTCTCCTCCTCCTCCTCCTCCTCCTCCCCACCCCCTTATCAAGGAGCAAAAGCCCTTGCCCTTGGGCCCAAGCCCTTGGGCCACCTCCTTATGAGGTTTAAATTGGAGCACCTCCCAAACTAGCAGGAAGGGGCCCGAGGGCTCCGCTGATCTTAGACCGCCCGCTTCAGACTTTCCCCAAGGAGTCTGATGGGGGAAAACAATCGATTGACTTTTTAGTGGACGCAGGTGCAACTTCTTTGGCGTTAAAGCCAATTCAAGGTTGTTGGTTTATTTTAAAAAGACGTGGTTTTGGAGCTATCAATGTCACACATAATACAAATAATCAACTTTGCGTTTCTTTCTTTCTTTCTTTCTTTCTTTCTTTCTTTCTTTCTTTCTTTCTTTCTTTCCCTTTTTCTTTCTTTCTTTCTTTCTTTCTTTCTTTCTTTCTTTCTTTCCTTTTCTTTCTTTTCTTTGTCATAAAAGCACTTGGATTCGGTTCTCCCTGCGTTACAAGCCGTTGGGTGGGCAGTGGAATGTGCCACGCTCCCGTCACAACAGTGAGCCTGTATTTGTGGTTATCAAAATATACCTCTCCATCACCTTTATAAAAACCAACCAACCAACCAACCACGTTTGGGTGCCTGGGTGGCTCAGTCGTTCAGCGTCTGCCTTCGGCTCAGGTCATGATCCCAGGGTCCTGGGATCGAGCCCCGCATTGGGCTCCCTGTTCATTGGGGAACCTTCTTTTCCCTCTGTCCCTTCCCCTGCTTGTGTTCCCTCTCTCGCTGTGTCTCTCTCTGTCAAATAAATAAAATTTATGAAATATATTCATACATTTGCCAATCTAAAGAATTCTGGTGTAATAGAGAGTGCGCCATTGGTTACTACTAACGTTTCACCAGAGACTGAGATTTCTAAGAATTAAAATTCTGCCACATGGAATTGGGACTGCTACAAAATGATAACAAAAACAACTCCGTGTGTGGGAAGGTAGGAGACGTGTAAAAGAGGTACAAGAAATGAGAAAACATTTTTTTTGTTGAGGGAAAAGGAAGTAATGGTGTACTGAAACGGGACTGGGTACTTAAAGAAAGAAAACTTTAAGACCGAGTCTGAATGAAAAAGGAAATTGTGGAAGGGGTTTGTGAAGGAGAATTTTTGAAAAGGAATTTTATGCATGGTCAGGACTGACTGAGCTTGGGAGAAGGCAGTTTGAAAAGCACACTGGTGGAACTGGAGGGTATTATGTTGAGCGAAATAAGTCAAACAGAGAAAGACATGTATCCTATGATCTCACGGATAGGAGGAATTCTTTTTTTTTTTTTTTTTTTTTTTTTTTTTTTTTTTTTTTTTTTTTTTTTTAATTTTTTTATTCTTATGTTAATCCCCTTACATTACAACATTAGTTTTAGATGAAGTGTTCCATGATTCATTGTTTGTGCATAACACCCAGTGCTCCATGCAGAATGTGCCCTCCTAAATACCCACCACCAGGCTAACCCATCCTCCCACCCCCCTCCCCTCTAGAACCCTGTTTGTTTTTCAGAGTGATAGGAGGAATTCTTAATCGCAGGAAACAAGCTGAGGGTTGCTGGAGTGGGGGGTGGGGTGGGAGGGATGGGGTGACTGGCTGATAGACACTGGGGAGGGTAGGTGCTCTGGCAAGCGCTGTGAATTGTGCAAGACTGTTGAATCTCAGATCTGTACCTCTGAAACAAATAACGCAATCTATGTGAAGAAGAAAAAAAAAATAGAAGAAGGTAGCGGGAGGGGACGAATGAAGCGGGGGAAATCGGAGGGGCGGACGAACCATGAGAGACGATGGACTCTGAACAACAAACTGAGGGTTCTAGAGGGGAGGGGGGTGGGAGGATGGGTTAGCCTGGTGGTGGGTATTGAGGAGGGCCCATTCTGCATGGAGCACTGGGTGTTGTGCACAAACAATGAATCATGGAACACCACATCTAAAACTAATGATGTAATGTAGGGGATTAACATAAGAATAAAAAAAAGAAGAAGAAAAGCACACTGGTATAAGATTGAGATTTGGGTTTTCTATGTTAAAATGACAAGGTTTTCTTGGATTGTTAGTGTACTCTTTTTTTCTTTCTTAAGATTGTATTTATTTATTTGACAGAGAGAGACACAGCGAGAGAGGGAACACAAGCAGGGGGAGCGGGAGAGGGAGAAGCAGGCTCCCGGCCAAGCAGAGAGCCCGATGTGGGGCTCGATCCCAAGACCCTGGGATCATGACCTGAGCCGAAGGCCGACAGACGCTTGACGACTGAGCCACCCAGGCGCTCCTCCGAGATTTTATTTTTTAAATAATCTCTACACTGAACGTGGGGCTCGAACTCACAACCCTGAGATCAAGAGTCGTGCTCTCTACCGACTGAGCCAGCCAGGTGCCCCTGGACTGTCATCTCGAAGAGACACATGCGTAGACTCAGATATGGTGAGACTGCTTTAAGAAAGTCAGATTGACTTTATGGAGCCAGTAAAGCCCCTTAGAAATGTTGGCCTGATAACCTTGCTTAGAGAGGTCCCCTCAACCTTACCAGGTGAGTGAAGAGTACCACCTCCTGGCAGATGCAGGAACTTCAGGAAATTTGGAGGCCCTCAAAGAAGAGAGGAATTCACCCAAATCTACAAGTCTTTTTTTTTTTTGTAATTTTTTTTATTCTTATGTTAATCCCCGTACATCACATCATTAGTTTTAGATGTAGTGTTCCATGATTCATTGTTTGTGCACAACACCCAGTGCTCCATGCAGAATGCGCCCTCCTCAATACCCACCACCAGGCTAACCCATCCTCCCACCCCCCTCCCCTCTAGAACCCTCAGTTTGTTTTTCAGAGTCCATCGTCTCTCCTGGTTCGTCTACCCCTCCGCAAATCTACAAGTCTTGCAGGCGAATCTGATGGCCAATATTTGGCTTGGTTCTCGGCTTTAAAAAGGCAGTTAAAGGATCAATCTAAAATTCCTTGTAAAAAGCTCCATCAAAGCAGATTTAAAAGAAGGAAAGGAAAAAGAAAAGAGAAGAAAGACCCCATATATGGTCAATTGCTATTCTTGCTGTCCCTACGTAGATGATTGGGCCAAGTTTGTTAAAACTGGACTTGTTTTACAAACAAATTAATCTTCTTTTGGCTATCTTTGACAGGAATGAAGGTGACTTTAGAGAGAAAGATTACATTTCAATAACACACTTTTGTGAGTGTTAGATTAATTATCTTTGAACGTTTATTGTTTGCCTATAAAACTGGACTGGATCCTGGATCCTTCTGGTTTCCTTGAGTATCTGACTGTGACTCTTCAAACTAAGGTTTCCAACATTCTCCCATTCTCTCTCTTTTTTTTAATTAATTTATTTTTTTATTCTTAGGTTAATCCCCATACATTACATCATTAGTTTTAGATGAAGTATTCCATGATTCATTGTTTGTGCATAACACCCAGTGCTCCATGCAGAATGGGCCCTCCTCAATACCCACCACCAGGCTAACCCATCCTCCCACCCCCCTCCCCTCTAGAACCCTCAGTTTGTTGTTCAGAGTCCATCGTCTCTCATGGTTCGTCCGCCCCTCCGATTTCCCCCCGCTTCATTCGTCCCCTCCCGCTACCTCCTCCTCCTCCTCCTCCTTCTTCCTCCTCCTCCTCCTCTTCTTCTTCTTCTTCTTCTTTTCTCCTTCTTCTTCTTCTTCTCCTTCTTCTTCTTCTTCTTCTTCTTCTTCTTCTTCTTCTTCTTCTTCTTCTTCTTCTTCTTCTCCTTCTCTCCTTCTCCTTCTTCTTCTTCTTCTTCTTCTTCTTCTTCTTCTTCTTCTTCTTCTTCTTCTTCTTCTTCTTCTTCTCTCTCTTCTTCTTCTTCTTCTTCTTCTTCTTCTTCTTCTTCTTCTTCTTCTTCTCTCCTTCTTCTTCTTCTTCTCTCCTTCTTCTTCTTCTTCTTCTTCTTCTTTTCTTCTTCTTCTTCTTCTCTCCTTCTTCTTCTTCTTCTTCTTCTTCTTCTTTTCTTCTTCTTCTTTTCTTCTCCTTCTTCTTTTCTTCTTCTTTTCGTCTTCTTCTTTTCTTCTCCTTCTTCTTTTCTCCTCCTCCTTTTCTCCTCCTCCTCCTCCTCCTCCTCCTCCTTCTTCTTCTTCTTCTTTTTTTCCCCTTAACATATATTGCATTATTTGTTTCAGAACATTCTCCCATTCTCTTATCTTACAATCATTAAGAACTAAAACTGTCCTTTTTCCTGAAGTCTGGCAAATGAAAGCTGGACAACTTGAAATAAATTTCAGGGAAATGACCACAATAACTCATATATAGACAATCTTTGTGCCTGTTGCTCTATGAGTCACTCAAAATGAGACATTTGAACTATACGCCAGAAAAATTAGTCAGATTGCCCCTGCCCACTCCCACTCTATTGGAGGATGCTTCAAGCCTGACATCTAGAGACCTTCTCACTGGCAGCCCTCTGGACTTAGACACCAGGTGTATCCCTTGTTCCAACCATTAACCATGTTTTCCTTTTGTTTCCATAGAAATGCCTCTTATTAACTACAAGATCACTTGCTGAATGAGGCAGAGTCTATGATCCTTAATTCCACCTTGCTGCACCTGTATTAACTCCTCTTTGGAAAATAAGAACCCATATAAATAGGGGCACCTGGCTGGCTCAGCTGGTAGAACATACGACTCTAGATCTCGGGGTTGTGAGTTCGAGCCCCACATTGAGTGTAGAGATTACTTAATAGAAATCTTTAAAGAAAAAAAAAAATAAAAAAGAACCCATGTAAATAAAATCAAACACTAAGCTACTTGGCTACCAGAAGCCCTTCACCACCACAACCTACCGCCCCCCCCCCAGGGGAGGGGCTCAGACTAATTTACTGATCTGTATTCTTGGATACCCACCGATATCAGATCAATTTGAGAGAGAATGAGAGAATTGGGTTTGACTCTACTGTTACTATTCCTTAGACTACACTTGGGGATAAAATCAATGGTGTCATGTAGTCCCAAACCATGTAGAAAAATAACCAAGTTCTCAGATAAGGAACTATCTCTGAGACCCCCTCCATTAGCACAAGGGACCAAAAATTGCGACCTGCAGTGTCTCAGATCCTTCCATTCCAAAGCCTCTACTGCACCCTAATTCAGCTTGAAGCAGTTAAATAAAGAAGGCAGACCTCTGCCCATGTGTCATAGAAATGGAATGCAGGATGGACAAGGGGAAATTTTAACAGGGAAAAATGTAGCATGTCTGACTCCCTGTTATTTTTATTCCCTTTTAACCTGTAGGTTAAAAACTTCTGTTTAGCCCTGAACATAGCCATGTTACAGCTAAGATTTACAGAAACTGTCGTTTACCCAAAACCTACCTCCCCTGAGGAGATGAAAGAATAGCCACAGCCATCATCATCCCAATTCCCTAAGACTGAGGAATGATCCTCACTTGGTGGGGGTGGGGGTGGGGGTGGGGGTGGGGATTGAAACCGTGCCCCATAAGGTTAATGAGGTTGATGCTAGCAGAAAGCTTAAAGCTGGTTTTTCAGGGAACTGTTTCCCCCTAGTCAGCTATTGTGTCTTTTCAGGCCCTGCTACCAAATACTGGCTGTCTCTGCAGAAGTCTGGACTCAAGGTCAACTGATAATGGCTGCAGCCTATGAAGAAGCGAGGTCCTGATTCCTTACCTGAGAAAAGGAGCCTAAGACCCCATCCAGGTTGTACCAGCTCTCAGAGCATGCCCACAGCCTCTTCTCCTTGTCCTCAGATAACCTCCTGACATCAGGGACTCAGTTTTGCCTCATTCAGATGTCAGGTCTCCACCCCGAAGTAAACATGGGAATCTATGGTACATATGTTTCCTGAATATACGTGCTCCAACTTTCGCCATGAATAATCATAAATGTCCCTGCCCTTTTCCTTTTTGAAGTTTGATTGTTTGTTTTTATTTATTTATTTCAGAGAGAGAGACACACAGAGAGAGACAGAGACAGAGAGAGAAACACACAGAGAGAGAGAGAGACAGAGAGACAGAGAGACAGAGAGACAGAGAGACAGAGAGCTTGCACGCATGGGTGGGTGGAGGGGCAGAGGGAGAGGGAGAAGACTCCCCATTGAGCAGGGAGCCCCAGAGGGGTGGGGCTCGATCCCAGCACCCTGAGATTATGACCTGAGCTGAAGGCAGATGCTCAACCGGCAGCCACCCAGGCGCCCCTCCATTCCATTTTTTTTTTTTAAAGAGATAAACATTACATACTTTATTTTTAAAAATTCATTCATTCATTCATTCATTCATTCATTCATTCATTCATTCATTTTTCATCATCTGTAGTCCCAGTGTAGGGCTTGAACTCAGGACCCTGACTGAGATCAAGAGTCATGTGCTGTTCTGACTGAGCCACCCAGGTGCTCCTTCTGTTCCATATTTTAAACAACCCTGGGATCATGGCTCAGAGTCACAGTTGGCCCAATGAGACTCACACTCACCCCTCTGTGCAGAGGTGCCATCTGTGGGGCTGGTTCCTGTTTGTCCATCTTCCTTCCTCCTCTTACTGGACAGGAAGGTGGTGTGCGAAAACAGCCAGTGACTACGTGGAATGAGACCGAGGATTTCCCTTGGGAAGCAGGTGGGAGAGGGAGGACAGGTCGATGGATAATCAATAAACTGTTTTTTTTTTTTTTTTTTAAGATTGTATTTATTTATTTATTTGACAGAGAGAGACACAGCGAGAGAGGGAACACAAGCAGGGGGAGTGGGAGAGGGAGAAGCGGGCTTCCCGCGGAGCAGGGAGCCCGATGCGGAGCTCGATCCCAGGACCCTGGGATCATGACCTGAGCCGAAGGCACATGCTTAATGACTGAGCCACCCAGGTGCCCCAACAATCAATAAACTGTTAATGTTGATTTAGAGGAGTGTGCTTGCTGGGCCCATAACTCGGTGGATGAGTTAGAACGGTCCCTGTCAGGCCTCCCTTAGCCCTTAGCCCTTAGCCCTTATCACTCCATGCTTGTGTTTGGCCTCTGACCGCTAAGATACCACCATCATGTGTTCAAGGTCCTCCTCAGACTCAGCCAGCCACACCATGCCACACCCTCCTACCTGCACACCCATCCCTGGAAGGCAGTATAGTAAGACATCATCCCCCACATTCATGATTCCCAAAGGGTTTACTGGAGTTTCGTGGGTTAGGAAAAGGAGGGGACTCTTTTTGCCCCCAGATGAGGTGAGCTCTTCAGACACCCTCTTTCCCCTTCCCCTCCTCCCTCCCTCCCTTCCCTCCCTCCCTCCCTCCCTCCCTCCCTCCCTCCCTCCCTCCCTTCCGTCCCTCCCTCCCTCCCTCCCTCATCTCTCTCCGAAGTTTGCAAGCTGCAGCCTAAGGGTTAGGGGGAGTTGAGGAAAGCCATTGAATGGAGGGAAGCTCCAGGCTCTGACTTTAACAGAAAGCTTTCTGCATTTGAATGAAGCGATTGAATGAGGCCCATTAGAATGGATCACCCTGAACGTCCCATCAGCCGCCCCAGCCCCAGCCCCAGCCCCCCCATCCCCCCCCAACTGAAGTCCTCTGGTCGAATTGGAACAGTAGGCTGGGGGGGGGGGGGGGGGCTGTCCATCCTAAGTTGGTAACTAGGCCCCTGGTCCATAGGGAAAAAATCACGCACGGGTACAGATGAGTTGGTAGCTCAGGCAAAGTGGTCGAAGTGTTGGCAAGGTTTCCGTGGATGAGGGGAGATTTGTTCTGGGACCACCCTCCCATATACATCTCTGGCTGAGAAGAGGACAGGGGAGCCCTGTGGGGGTGGGGGTGGGGGTGGGGGTGGGGGGGCGGGACCCAGATCTGGAGCTCGGAGTGGACTATAGCCGCTGCCTGCCCGGGTGTGTGTGCCTGGGGGGCGGGGGGGGGGGCGCTGAGGGATAAGGGCTGAGGGTGGTGGGGTCTGCTCACGCTGACTCCTGCAACTCAATTCATCCTGGGAACCTTCTGTTGTTTCTGCTGAGGTGCCAGGTGCTGTGATGACCAAAGCTAAACTCCTCTCTTTGCCTAGTTCTTAAAAGGCCTGATCCTCCTGTTATCTTGTTAAATGGACCGACCCCTGCACCCTCCCATCCTGCCAGACCCCTTGTGCAAATACTTCCACTTGAAGAGTTCTTTCTCTGAATCTAGAAAATAAACAGACAACACCCACCAGCCACACCGACCCCATTGCCACAAATACCTAGCAAAGACAAATCTAGCTGGTCTCCTTCTGCCTCAAGGCACTTTAGAGAGTCACTCTCTCAGACACACCTTAGGCTCAATTACAGGCTGCTGTCTCCCTTTCTCTGGCACAATTCCATCCCTGGAGGAGCCCCATATCGCATCTGCAGCCGTGAGCTGGAGACAGTATGCTCAAGTGACCGGGTGGTAGCACCGTAACTTTGAAATGACCTATACCCCAAGTCATCCATGAACATGGTCCCTGGAAATCTTTGACATTCACGTGCCTCTGATGAAATCCTTGCTTTGGAAACTCCAGCACCCATAGCCAATCTTGTCCATGTTCTGCTAACCTTTGCTCGCCCTCTGTTCGCCTGATATCTTGCCTGATTGTTTACAGAGAAATTAGATCCCATCCAGCAAGAGCTGAATCCGAGTCCTCTGCTCACCCCACGACGGAAAAGAATATGCACAGGCCTGCATCCCTCTTCTCCTTCTCCACCATGTCGGAAGAAAAGGTGGCCCTCCCTCCTCCCATCAGAACCCAAACCCGAGATAAGACTTAGATATAAAGGAAACCAGCATACTGTTTTGAACTCTATATACACTTGTAAAAAACGAGCAGCGGCAAGGAAACACACAAACCACCACCCCCCCCCACACACACACAGGTGCAAGGAGGGTGCGCTGACTCGCTGAATCTCCCCCTTTTCTCCCGAGAGGCATCCCCCCCATCCCCCGCCCCCCCCCGAAGATGTCCTCCCTATGCCGGAAGGGGAGTGAGTGACGTTCTTTTCTTCCTTTTTTTTTTTTTTTAAATTATTCTTTTTAAAAGACTTTTATTTATTTGAGAGGAGGGGTGGGGGGGAGGGAGGGGGGAGGGAGGGAGAGAGAGAGAGAGAGAGAGAGATTGAGAGAGAGAGAAGCAGAGTCTCCGCCGAGCAGGGAGCCCGATGTGGGGCTGGATCCCCGGACCCTGAGCTCAGGGCCTGAGCCGAAGGCAGGCGGACGGTTCACGGATTGAGCCAGCCAGGCGCCCCAGCTTTCTTGTTTCTTTGTCTGCCTGCTTGCCTGCGTGTTGGGTCTGTGGATGTCTGATGCCTGCCCTCTGATTTCGTGGGGAGGTGGGCCGTCTTTCCTCCTTCCAATGGCCTTTGCGCATTTGTCAAACTTCTGTCGGGCTTGGGCCTATCTGTTTGGGTATCTGTGGCGTTCCATCCACCGACCTGTCTCTTTTGTCTGCCAACATCACAGGGTCTCTATCGCCTCTATACATAAGCATGAAACGGGCCCGGAGAGGACGACTTTGTTTCCTGAGTTTTGTTTTGTTTTCTTCGAAATCACCATAGCGATTCTAATTCCTTTTGCCTGTCTGCTTGTGTATGTAATCTGTACACCCATCCAGTGCGGTGCTGGAACTCACGACGCCCGCCGATCAAGAGTCGCGGTCGCGTGGGCCTCCTCCGACCGAGCCAGCCAGGTGCCCTGAAATACGTGTACTTGAAAAACCAATGTGAAGCCTGCACCCGTGAACTTTTTTTTTTAAAGATTTTATTTATTTATTTGAGACAGAGAGAATGAGAGAGACAGAGAGCACATGAGAGGGGGGAAGGGTCAGAGGGAGAAGCAGACTCCCTGCCGAGCAGGGAGCCCGATGCGGGACTCGATCCCGGGACTCCGGGATCATGACCTGAGCCGAAGGCAGTCGCTTAACCAACTGAGCCACCCAGGCGCCCTTTTTTTTCTTTTCTTTTCTTTTTTTTTTTTAATAGATGCACCCGTGAAGTGTTTACTGCGAAACCTTCTTTTGATCGTCGCACTCTTGAGTGGAGGCCGTACCAGTAACGTAGTTTAGCCAACTCAGGAAGAGATCAGCTTTAAAGGAAAACCTTCTTTTCGAGTTTGTGATGTCTGGTCCTTTCTCTCAACTCGATCGATGTCCAGCCTTCAGAGCCACATTATTTGCTTGGTCTCTCTCTCTCTCTCTCTCTCTCTCTCTCTCTCTCTCTCTCGTCTGTGTTTCCTCGTGTACTTTCCTGATGCTCAGGATTTATGGTTTAGAGAGAACAGTTTTCAGCCTGGTGTGTGTGTGTGGGGGGGGGGATGTTGTGAAGTGGGATCAGGGATTCACGCGGGTAAGGAGGAGGCAAGGAGAAAGGCTTGGTTGGGAAGGAAACCATTAAAGGTCCATGTTGAAATGGTGAAGTTTATTTTATTTATTTATTTATTTATTTATTTATTTATTTATTTATTTATTTATTTATTTATTTACTTTTTAAAGATTTTATTTATTTATTTGACAGAGAGAGACAGCGAGAGAGAGAACACAGGCAGGGGGAGTGGGAGAGGGAGAAGCAGGCCTCCCGCGGAGCAGGGAGCCCGATGTGGGGCTCGATCCCAGGGCCCTGGGCTCGTCACCTGAGCCGAAGGCGGACGCTTAACGACTGAGCCACCCCCCAGGTGCCCCGAAATGGTGAAGTTCAATGTAGTAAGAGTTACCTTTAATCAAAGGAATTCTTTTTTTTTTCTTTTATTTTATTCTTATGTTAATCCCCATACATTACATCATTAGTTTTAGATGAAGTGTTCCATGATTCATTGTTTGTGCACAACACCCACTGCTCCATGCAGAATGGGCCCTCCTCAATACCCACCACCAGGCTAACCCATCCTCCCACCCCCCTCCCCTCTAGAACCCTCAGTTTGTTGTTCAGAGTCCATCGTCTCTCATGGTTCGTCTACCCCTCTGATTTCCCCCCGCTTCATTCTTCCCCTCCTGCTACCTCCTCCTCCTCCTCCTCCTCCTCCTCCTCCTCCTTCTTCTTCTTCTTCTTTTTTTTTTCTTAACATAGATTGCATTATTATTTGTTTCAGAGGTACAGATCTGAGATTCAACAGTCTTGCACAATTCACAGCGCTTACCAGAGCACACACCCTCCCCAGTGTCCATCACCCAGTCACCCCATCCCTCCCACCCCACCCCCCACTCCAACAACACTCAGTTTGTTTCCTGCGATTAAGATAATCAAAGGAATTCTTGCTGGAGGTTGCTTCTCCCCTCTCCTCCCTGGATAGGGGAGTGAAGTTTTTTCGAGGTCCCTAGTGGACACAGAAAGCGTTCAAGTGCCCCTAGCACCTATGGATGGGGCTCTGTTGCCCTCTAGTGTCCTATCCTCTGCTACTGCTGCTCGTGGTTTCCTCTGACGTCGTATTCGTCACAGGTGTGTATCTTTGATGGTTAATGCTGCTCGGTGTCGGTTGTTTGCGTGTTTGTTTTTGAAAGCTTTTTGAGTGATCATCCAGCATGGTGCTGGAACTCACGACCCCTGCAGATCAAGAGTCGCAGTCGCGTGGGCCTCCTCCGACCGGAGCCAGTCAGGTGCCCTGAAATGCGCTTAGTTGAAACAGGAAGAAAGAAAAAACAAAAAACAAAACCCAAACCATTTTTTTTTTCCCCCTTTACGAGCCAGAGGAAGTTCTACGCCTTGTTTTTGTTTTACCCTTAATAGCATGGAACAGTTCTCCTCCTCCTCCTCCTCCTCCTCCTCCTCCTCCTTCTTCTTCTTCTCCATCATCATCATCATCATCATCAATATTTAACTCTTCTAGAGCACCTCCCCCGCCCACCCCGTACTAGTGTTGGACGGCACGGATGTCCCGGAACTGGATTTCTTTAAAGATATATATTTTTACGATTTTATTGATTTATTTGACAGAGGGAGACACAGCGAGAGAGGGAACACAAGCAGGGGGAGTGGGAGAGGGAGAAGCAGGCTTCCTGCCGAGCAGGGAGCCCGATGCGGGACTCGATCCCGGGACTCCGGGATCATGACCTGAGCCGAAGGCAGTCGCTTAACCAACTGAGCCACCCAGGCGCCCTCTTTTTTTTTTTTTCTTAACATAGATTGCATTATTTGTTTCAGAGGTACAGATCTGAGATTCAACAGTCTTGCACAATTCACAGCGCTTGCCAGAGCACCTACCCTCCCCAGTGTCTATCACCCAGTCACCCCATCCCTCCCACCCCACCCCCCACTCCAGCAACCCTCAGCTTGTTTCCTGCGATTAAGAATTCCTCCTATCCGTGAGATCATAGGATACATGTCTTTCTCTGTTTGACTTATTTCACTCAACATAATACCCTCCAGTTCCATCCACGTCGTTGCCAATGGCAAGATCTCATTCCTTTTGATGGTTGCATGATATTCCATTGTATGTATATATATACCACATCTTCTTTATCCATTCATCTGTCGATGGACATCTTGGCTCTTTCCACAGTTTGGCTATCGTGGATATTGCTGCTATAAACATCGGGGTGCACGTACCCCTTCGGATCCCTATTTTTGTATCTTTGGGGTAAATACCCAGTAGTGCAATTGCTGGATCATACGGCAGCTCTAGTTTCAACTTTTTGAGGAATCTCCATACAGTTTTCCAGAGTGGCTGCACCAGCTTGCATTCCCACCAACAGTGTAGGAGGGTTCCCCTTTCTCCGCATCCCCGCCAACATCTGTCATTTCCTGACTTGTTACTTTTAGCCATTCTGACTGGTGTGAGGTGGTATCTCATTGAGGTTTTTTTTTTTTTTTTTAAGATTTTATTTATTTATTTGAGAGAGAGAGAGAGACAGAAAGAGAGCATGAGAGGGGGGAGGGTCAGGAGGATCAGAGGGAGAAGCAGACTCCCCGCTGAGCAGGGAGCCCGATGCGGGACTCGATCCTGGGACTCCAGGATCATGACCCGAGCCGAAGGCGGTCGCTTAACCAACTGAGCCACCCAGGCGCCCTCATTGAGGTTTTGATTTGGATTTCCCTGATGCTGAGCGATATTGAGCACTTTTTCATGTGTCTGTTGGCCATTTGGATGTCTTCTTTGGAAAAATGTCTGTTCATGTCTTCTGCCCATTTCTTGATTGGATTCTTTGTTCTTTGGGTGTTGAGTTGGATGAGTTCTTTATAGATTTTGGATACGAGCCCTTTATCTGATATGTCATTTGCAAATATCTTCTCCCATTCTGTCGGTTGTCTTTTGGTTTTGTGGACTGTTTCCTTTGCTTTGCAAAAGCTTTTTATCTTGATGAAGTCCCAATAGTTCATTTTTGCCTTTGCTTCCCTTGCCTTTGGCGATGTTTCTAGGAAGAAGTTGCTTTGGCTGAGGTCAAAGAGGTTGCTGCCTGTGTTCTCCTTTAGGATTTGGATGGACTCCTGTCTCACATTGAGGTCTTTCAACCATTTGGAGTCTATTTTTGTGTGTGGTGTAAGGAAATGGTCCAGTTTCATTCTTCTGCATGTGGCTATCCAATTTTCCCAACACCATTTGTTGAAGAGACTGTCTTTGTTCCATTGGACATTCTTTCCTGCTTTGTCAAAGATGAGTTGACCATAGAGTTGAGGGTCCATTTCTGGGCTCTCTATTCTGCGGAACTGGATTTCTTGAGTGAAGGACTATTTTAACTCCCTTCCTCCCCATTCCGCGCCTGCCCCCGCCCCGCCCCCCGCCCCCGCACGCACCGCCC